GCGGTGTCCCCCACCCCGAGGTCACTGAGGGCAGGAGCTGGGGCCAGAGTCCCTCAGGAGCCTGGCACTGGGTGACCCTCCCGTAGGGGTAACTAGGATTCTGTCTGAAATCCCCGGGGGTCGCCAGGCACTCAGGGTCCTGTTGGCATCACGGGCGAGGCCTGGAAGGAGAGCAGGTGTGGTCAAAGCCCCAGCCCTGCTGTCTGAATCACAGCCAGACTTCTTGGGGCCTTGGGGGACGGCCGTCTTGAACCTGTGTCTCCCCCGAGGACAGGGAGGGGCTCGGCCCTCGGTGGTCTCCTGGGGACAGGCCCTGCCCATCCAGGCCTGGCCGGTGCCCCCACCCCGAACCCTCACCAACCTTCTTCTCTTACTTGGTGGGATTTCAGAAATCTCCCTGTGCGCGGACATCGCCCGCACCGGCAAAGTGAAGCCGACCAGAGCTGGGAAGGATCAGGTGCGGCTCAACCTTGACCCACACCCCAAACGCCTTGCAGTAGTCCCGCCGCGTTCTCCTAGGGCGCCCCCTTGCGGCGACTGCGTGAACGGCGGTCTGTGTCGCGTATGCAGTGTTAACTGTGCAAAGGTCAAGCTCCCTGGTGGGTCAGTCCAAAGTGGGGGGAAGAATTAGGACTCTGGGAGTGGAATCCGTCCCTTATGTCCCTCTCAAAATGCAGTCATTCCCCGGAGGCAAACGCTCTTCTTTAAACGGAGGCGTCACCACTATTAGCTCCCTATAGGGTGGGGCCACTTAATTTGCTTTAATCTTTGGGCAGATAGTAATTGGCTGCTAAGAATAGTCCCCGCACTTTGGTGAGTGAGTAATTAAGAGTTCGCATAATAGTTACCAGTTAGATTAGAATCTGGACGTACGTATGCAGCTCCATTTGGTTTGTTAGCCCAACATTTCTTAAAAGCTGTTAAAATCAATTTTACTGTCCTGGGCTCCTTGTTTTAAATGGATGAATTGTATTTTGGGGTGAATTTGGTCATGACTTTTGGAGCAAAAGGCAAAAACCCACTCTCGGGCCCAAAGAATTATTTGGTGTGGGAGCGGGGTGTGTAAGCTGCGCTGGCTAAAGACACGGTAGGGAAAGTTGGCTGCGCCTCTCCCAAGAGTCGGAGGGATCCGCACGGGCCCCTGTGCGCGCCCTTCTCTGCCGGTGTCTGCAGAGCACCTGGACCTGGGGCCCTGGCGGACAAGGCGCCATCCTGCTGGTGAACTGCGACAAGGACAATCTCAAGTCTTCCGCCATGGACTGCGAGGATGACGAGGTGCTTAACAGCAAAGGTAAAGACCCTTTGAGAGGCAAAGGGAATAGGGTTTTGTCTTTTTTTTCTTCTTAAGAAACAAGGTCTCACTTTGTCGCCCAGGCTGGAGTGCAGTGGCGTAATCATAGCTCACTGTAACCTCGAACTGCTGGGCTCAAGCGATCCCACCTCAGCTTCCCAAGTAGCTGAGACTACAGGTGTGTGCCACCACACGTGGCTAATTTTTTTAGTTTTTGTAGAGATGGTGGGCGGGTCTCGCTATGTTGCCCAGGCTGGTCTCAAACTCTTGGCCTCAAGCAATCTTCCTACCTTGGCCTTCCAAAGTGCTGGGATTACAGGAGTGAGCCACCGTGCCCAGCCAGGCTTTGTATTTTTATAAAGGCCTTTTGTCCATATGGCCTGCACCTTGTAACATCTCTCTGAAATAGGGGTTATGGAAGGCAAGGCCTGTTCCTGTTAGTATGTCCATTTTATAGGCGAAGCAATGGACAAAGGTCCTCAGAGGGCAAGTGACCTGCCCAAGGTCACACAGCAGTCAGAGAAGAGCCAACCAAGGCCGAACGTCCTGATACCTCCTCCAGTGTCCATGCCCCGGCTGCTGCCCAAGCCAGATTTCTGCTCTTGGGTCAAACTCAGGCCTAAAATAATTCAAAATGAAAGCTTTACCCAAATTCGTGTCAGAGCAGCCCCTGAGACCCCTGCCACGGGCCGGGCGCTGCTCTGAGCCCTTCAGAATGATTAACCCATTTGATCCTTCAACACAAAGTTTTACAGATGGGGAAACTGAGGCATGAAGAAGTTAAGCAATTTGCCCAAGGTCACACAGCTAATAAGTACTCAGCATCTGAACCCCAGACATCCTGACACCAGGGCAGGTTTAGGGGCACAAGGACAGTGGTGGGCACAGGGTCTCCGTGGGCACAGGTCAGGGCCACTGAGAGGTGGCCCAGGGAGGACACATTACCTACCTGAGCTGGAGGAGGGTGCTGAGGGGCTGAGGCTGGCGGGCCTTCCTGGGAAGCTGCTAGAACAATATAGAAACAGACGCATTTTCCAACTGCATGCGGTTGGCCTGGCCCAATGCCGGGGGACAGCGTCTGCTCTGCGCCTGGCGCCCAGTGATAGTCACAGCAGCGGCCCTTTGTGGGTGCTGGAACGAGCTCCGGATGTGCGTCAGCCCACCTTGTCTTCGCAACACCCTACGGCGGGTACCGCTCCTGCCGCTGTCTCACTGATGAGGAAACAGGGGCACCAAGAGCTGAAGTCACTTTCCCAAGCTCACACAGATCCAGGGTTCCAACCACGCTGACCCCAGAGCCCTTGAGCCCTTGACTATGGGTCAGCCCAGCAGAAACTGTTACTTCTGTCTCCCCTACCTGTGCTGGGTGCTATCGATGTTGGCTCAGAAACTTCGCTTCCTGCTCGGGAGCAGCGCAGAGGCCTTTCACCCATCACTGCGCAGACTGTTACGGAGAACCTGCCTGCGCTGGTCACTGCTCTCGGTCGTTCTCGGCTTCCTAGGTACCAGACGCGGGGACACTACAATGAGCAAAGTGAACGTGGGCCCTGCATCGCCGAGCTTATGTCCTCAGCCCATCCTAGTGGGAGAAGACCAGAACCTCAATTAGCTTTCCTTCCAAAACAAAAGCATTTAAACACTGGAAATAGGCCGGGTGCAATGGCTCGTGCCTATAATCCCAGCACTTTGGGAGACTGAGGCAGGAGAATTGCTTGAGGCCAGAAGTTTGAGACCAGCCTGGGCAACATAGCAAGACCCCATCTCTCTACAAAAAAAATTTTTTTTTAATTAGCCAGGAGTGGTGGCGCACACCTGTAGTCCCAGCTACTCGGGAGGCTGAGGCAGGAGGATCACTTGAGCCCAGGCATTGGAGGCTGCAGTGAGCTATGATGACACCACTACACTCCAGCCTGGGCAACAGAGTGAGATCCTGTCTCAAAAAATAAATGCGTATATACAAACATACATACTGGAAATAGCGTAAAGAAAAGAAAACCAGGCGATGTGGTGAGGGGAGGTCTGAGAGGAAACCAAGAGGCAGCTAATGGGGGCCCAGCCAGCTGCACCCTTCTCGCTCCAGACCTGCAGGACATGTCCCTGATGACCCTGAGCACGAAGACCCCCGGGGACTTCTTCACCAAGCACCAGCTGGTGCTCCACGTGGCCAGATCGGAGATGGACAAAGTGAGGGTGTTTCAGGCCACAGGTGAGTCGGCTTTGGCCTCATCTGCCC